GTATTTTTGTCTTTGATATTGACTTGTAAGGGCAACTCCATTTACGTTCACTGCATTATTAAGCTGTGAACGGGAACTTAACAATTCAGACCGCTGCACAATTACATTCAAATAAGTATGAAATAAACTAACCGGGGGGTCAAATTGAGGGTTACAGGGTTACTAATGAGGCAGCTCGAATAACAGCCACGAACATAAGTCTTGGGCGCCAGGCTATAATGATACCCCTTTAACTCATCCAAACGAAACTTTGCATGATTACAAGATATACGCCCCTGGGTACCGGACCCGGACACAGTGAATGGCTATGTCTGTGTAGGTAACTATACAACATTATTATTGTATACTGCCTGCATAGCATCCGAACCGTCTACCCTCAGCGTCAGTAACTCAGCGCTGAACTCACTAACTCACAAACGCAGCCATCTTGCAGCAGACTGTCAATTAAAACATTTTTCGGTTCTGCATCATGGCGGCTGCCGCGGCGGCTCGGCTGCGGTGCGGGTGGCACCCCTGAGTCTGAGGACCGAGTCCCCGGTCCCTTCATCCGAGGCAGGACTCGGGCCGGCTGTTTTACTCCGCGACACCTCACTTGGCGCGACGGGCCGTCATGGCCTTGACGACAGTCCTAAAATCCTTCACGACTGTGTCAGGGACCAACACTGGAGCGGAAAGGCCTCGTAAAAGGCGAGCGAACTCCCCGAGAAATGCGCCCTAACTTGGGATAAACGGCGACGGCCCGAATGCTCTGCCGCTCAAGTGACACTGGCCCTCGGAAATGTAAAGGGGGCTTTGAATTGAGCATAAATATCATGACTATTACTTATAGTTGATATGATCAAAAGATATTGTAACACCCATGAATGGTGATCTCACCACTACACTTATGCATTAGTTATCACATAAGCTTTGCTAAAGTTATACTATTTGCAAGGCTTATTGCTTGATGAATTAGGGAAAAGATACCAAAATGGCCAAGGCTGCCAGTGGTTATATGCTTTGAACTATTTCTTGTGCATATTTGCATTTTCCAAAGCAAAATTTGATATTTGGTAACAGAAAATTGAATTTGTTTCTTAGCTTTTTACCATCACTAATGCAATTTTTAATTAGCCCAATAAATATTGAACTTAGAATAAGCATGCAGTTGAAAGATGTCAAACATGATCAAAACACAAAATTTATTAGTTTTGCTGACATATCAACTTTAATGTAGCCTTCTATCAATTTTTATTGAAAAACATTCGCAGGTCGTGTTACTCGTAGGTCTTAAGTTTTTTGCACTAAGAAAAGTCGCCAATATTATAAAATAGAATGTATATGGCCATCGTTTTAAGAAACTAACAAAACGACGTAATATGAATGGGTATTGGTACTTACATACGTTATTCCAGAATTGACCTTAGATTGCTACTAAGAATATTAATATGAGAGGAAACTATCAGTGATCCTCCCATTCTGGCCCATACGTATAATTGTTGTGATGCAGTTAGTACCTGACTTCTGTACGGTTGATGTATTTATGCTGCCCTAAGCTAAGAGAAACTCTTCTAGCCAAGCATTATGCACTGGTACAGTTTATGTCAACATTAGAACGTCCTTGCTAAGCAATACAACATTCTTCAAGCCATCCAATTTTTTTTTTAATATGTTCAACGCTATTTTGAAAAGCTTTACTAAAAGTAGTGAAAATGATGACCTAACTTTCATGCTTTCTCTGTAGTTAATTACAAAATAAGAATGTGTACCGACTGGTCTAAAATGCTTCGATACGAGCGTTATGAGAAGCCTGCTTTTATGATATCACCAAAAGCTGCATCTGAGTACAGCTTACATATCATTGCTTACATATAATTTGTACATTCACAACTTCGACAAAGCAAAAAGCAAAAATGACGTTCTTACTTTTGTTGGTGATGAACTTCCATTCATGATTGCTTCATCTGTGCTTATAAACGAAGCACGTGATTCATTTGCGCCTAATTGAGGAAGTTCTCATAGCTATCTCACCGTGAAGGTGGCTGAGAAATGATTGCTATGAGACGCGAATGAGGTCGATGGCGCCCTTACAGTAAATTAAAAGTCTAATAGAGTCCGCAATTATGATCTGTTTGCATGCCGCCTAATGGTAAAAATCACTGGACAGTAACCAAACACAGGGCAACATTTGGCCTCTGCAGAATCTATGGCGCTCAAGAATTGCCGCAGACATGTTCTGATGCTCTAGTGCATGACGTATTGGGATAGAATCGGTCCCATAGAGATACAATCAACAACGCCTGATATTAGAAATGTGTTTGGCGAATTTATTATCACAGATGGCTATTAGAACCAACATAACGCTCTGATAGTCGAGTGGATCGTTTTTATTTCTGTTGTAATTTAGAGTGCGTGACATTTGGGTGTTTTTTGAAGATATTTTTGCTTTATTTTTATGAGTAAGCTGCTTTAAAGATAAGCATGGATGCTGCTACACAAGTTGTGGCGTATTAGCCCTCGGACCGCAATTTTATCACGTCATTTCAAAAGTTGAATAGTGGGTGCTCTTATAAAATGAAATAATTATTTGGATGCAGGACTCAAAGCCAAGATATAGTCTGGACAATGATTTTTCTTTTTAGGAATCATTTCATTATTTTCCCCCAAGAAATTTCACCGGATTACGATGCAGCAATTGATAAAGGGTCGCCGTCGTTCCCTGTTTCGCATCCTCCTGTCGGTCTGTTAACTGTTCTCTGTGAGCGAGTGGAAAACTTTTTTACAAAAATAGGCACTCTAAGTGGCCTCCGGAACTGATCATTTGGGATAAATAACATTATGAACCAATACATGTTTGGTTCACTTTGCCTGTAACATAAACAAACTGTCGAGCCTAAAATTACAGCTGCAATAATTGCAATTATTGTGACGTCCGTTACTTTCAATAGCATTGTGGCACTTAGTAGCAATATAATTATTTCAGTTTTTGTCCATACTGTAGGTATTTTACCATTTTGATCACTTTCTCTGCCTCTGTCGTATCTTCAAAAGTATTCAAACTGAAGTTATTTACCAGCCTTTTCAATGTCAGACTTCAATGTCTGCCTGTCCCAATTGTCTAGCTGCATATGCGGTTACATAAAAGCTATTGTTTCTTATACGGCGACATTTTCCTTGTGCCCTGTCCTTTATGTTTCACCAATTCAATTTTGGGCACGGCCTAAAATTCAAGCTTCTCATTCAGTAGTTTTCAAATGACTCACAATGTTTTATCATTCGTTGCCAAATGCCATTCCCGTTTGCAGATTACGTACTATATTTATTTTATTTTATTTTTTGAAGTGCTGTTCGATGTGTGTCGATGCTGAGGGGCGAATTATTGTCTGAAAAGAAAAAGTTACTCTGCAAGCCGCAGAGAACTGAGCACATACGACTAATGAGAACCTTTTGCCACTATTAACTGATAATATAAGACGCTCTGCTTGAATTGAACAAAGATTTTGGGATAAAATACAATTCGCTCCTCCAAGAGAAGACTCTTTAAGCTCGAGTACAAAAGGCGATTTTCGATGCTACTGGTCCCCCTCTGCCAGTGATAATGTAGCTCACTGTATCAACAACCACCATCCTGATTCCCTGAAAAGCTGCCTTCTATGTACACTCTTGAGGGTTTCTATGGTTAGCGGATCAAAGTTTATATCAATCATAAAGTTTTCGATAATGTAGCAAAATGTTCGAAGCGAACTAGCCACATTATTTCGCTGAACTGAATAATATTTTCCTTGCAACGAGTCAAAGCTAGTCTCTCCCTGTTTCACTGCAGCGTCGTCCAGCTATAAGCTCAGGACGTTTCTTCCGAGGAAATATTATAAGTGAAAAATTATTAGATTATTAGTATTATACAGGGGTACGATACATACGTAATTACGTACCCCCTGTGCGTAATCAAACGAGCAAAGGCTCGACCGACCTAGAATTGTGGTAACTGATAACCGCCTGATAAGCCGACAGATACTCGAGACCGGAGAAATGGATTGTTTTGCGGAGATTATAATGGCCACACAAGCAAAGATGTGTCGTAATCAGTTATGTGTCCTAACCTTCCTGCTTCATCGTCTTTGAACAACAACAACAAAAAAAAAAACAGAACAATGAATATCTCTAGTCTCTACACGTGCAGTGCAAAAATGGGCGGTAGTTTGCCGTCACAAAATCAGCGGGCAAACTTTAGAATACATCGTCAGAATCGCTTTGAGCAGCAATTAACATTATGGTTTATACAGCTTAAATGGTTGTGTTATTAACGTATCTAGTGATTCAATCAAACACATACCCTCATCATTAGCTAGGTATATCCATCCAAAGTATATCAAATTTTCGCTGGTATTTCTACGAAGACTCAGTACCCAAAGTCACGCCGTGAAATCAAAGTTAGGATAGTTAGCATTAAATTCCCGCAGGCGCAAAGCTGTTCTGCTTCGGTAGCATTTTGGACGAAGATAAGTGATGCGAATATGATAATTTCCATGATGTATGTGTGATGATAAGTACTTTGGCCGTTTGCAAGTATAGTCTTGGGCATGATTATGCAGAATGCATGAGCATGCCTCCTCCGTGCGGCTAATCGTGTGCCTGCTTTCATTTACCTGATATGTTCCATGCGCTGCATAAGAGGCCGGTTCTAGAAACCAGCGTCGTCACTTTGTCCTGTTTGTGATCTACGACTGTGAATGCTACATCGTTCGACTGTATTCCTGTGAGATTTTAGGTGCCTTGACCTAAGGCAACATCCCAGCTCAATTGGTGGCCTGTTAGTGTATCCATTCTATCGCGAAAGTGATGTCTTTCCGCGGTATTGCAGCAAATATAACTAGATGCTCAATATGTATACCTAATGAGCAGCCAAGGGGTTTTCGTTAGATCAGGGCACCTAAAATGCGCGATACGATGTAGAACATTATTTGATAGGGGGCTGGGGCCAACCAAATTGACTGAATTTCTATCTCGTTTCTCATTTTCAGCATCGGAGCGTGCCAATTACCCAGCCTGGCTACAAAGTAAGCATTATTCGTCAGTACTGGGGCCGTGTGCCCCCTGTGTACCGTACTCGCTCGCACGTGGCGTCCTTGGCTCATACCCTAACTCCCATCTGTGGTGTGTGCGTGTGGCCGCGGGCAGCCGTTCTTCGGGCCTCCCGGACAGCAGGGGTGGCCTGGCCCTCCCCACCAGGCCCGCGGACAAATTGGGCCACCAGTGCACGCAGTGTTTCATTACCTGTGTAAGCTCCACTGACGTTTATGTTTCATTTCGCCCCTATTTCTACCCTTTACGACCCATTTCAATAATCGGAACAGCATACCTCTTTCCACGGGAGAGTCCAGGCGACGTAGTCCGCCACCTAGTGAGCGTGATGAAAACTTCTAGTGTGTCGGTGTCCCGCCACTGGTGGCGCCACCTCCGTCGACTGGACCAGCTCCGGTTCGGTCGGAACCTGTGAACAGTCGGTCAAAAGCACGCTTTATTCCCCTGCTTTGGCCGAAGCTACTGAGCGGCGCCATGCTTAAACGGGTGGTAAGACGACCCGCGGCCGGTATCCGTGGCCACGCTACCCCGCATCCATCCTGCCCGCTTCCGTAGCCGCGCTCTGCCCGCCCCCCTGTGACCCATCTGACCCCGGGGACCTTCTGTGTGCCCCCAGGTCACGGACCGCACGGCCTGCGGCGGCGGGGTCGGCAGACCTACACCCGCTACCAGACGCTGGAGCTGGAGAAGGAGTTCCACACCAACCACTACCTGACGCGGCGGCGGCGGATAGAGATGGCCCACCAGCTCTGCCTCACCGAGCGGCAGATCAAGATCTGGTTCCAGAACCGGCGCATGAAGCTAAAAAAGGAGATCCAGGCCATCAAGGAGCTCAATGAGCAGGAGAAACAGTCGCAGGCGTCCAAGATGGCGGCCGGCCTGGCGAGCGGCACCGCCGGCTCGGCGGAGAAGAGCGGCTCGCAACAGCAGCCGGCCCAGCAGCAGGCCATCAGCAGTGGCGCCAGCATGCAGCCGCAGCAGCCGCAGCAGCAGGCCGCAGTCAACCCCAACCCGGCGGCGCCCAGCGCGACGCCCACCCCGAATCAAGTCGCCAAGTAAACGATAATGTTCTTTCTGCATTTGAAAGGTTAGTCCGTGGGAGGTAATCCCAGGTGCATGGGGACGGGCTCGGGACTGCATGGTGGCGGGACACAGGGCCAGCAGGTGGACTTCAGCGTGGCCTGACAAATATGGATTGGACCTTGTAAGAGCCTTTTTATTATATTTTTCAAAAGGAAAATATTACTTGGAATTTGCAGGGCCTGGGCCCTACCAAGCTTATACAAAACGACGCCCATGGTTCTCTAGTTCTTCTTTAATGTTATGATGATGTGACATCTGAAATTTATGGCTGTATTTCATCTTCAAAATAAGTTTTCGTCCAAACAAGCGACTTCCAACTCACAGTAAATTAACTATAATCCCAGCATTCCCTTTTTATGATGAGCTAACATTTAAGAGGCTGAAGTGGCACTTTTAACATTATAATTTCTGCTAAGTAATTGGGGATGAGGGACTGGGCTAGATTCCTTTATAGTACCTCGCTCATCCAGTTCGATACCATGCATATTGTGTGGCATCATGCCATCAGATCCTCGTTTCATGTTTATTGCAAGTTTCGCATAGCGTTGACGACCGTTCTCAGGGTTTTTATTTTCTTTAAGGTCGTAGCTAGCAGGAGAAGGGCTTCCCATTTCAGAGGGATGATACTTCTTCACTGAAGGGGACTGAGAGCAATCTTGGATGGGCGTCTCCCTGGGAGAAAAGATTAGGTATTTGTTAGTTGGCGGCTGGCGCAAGCTGGTCTCTGTAGTCTGTTGGACGCATGTTAGCCGAAGTCGCTTTATGCTGGTCTGTGAAGACTCAGAAAGATTTGCTTTTCTATGGTTCGATTGGTTAGGGCCCTTACGATCCTCACAGTGACTCCAGTCCTGAAGTCAGCAGACCACAAACCACAGCTCACATTGCCTCTCACTCGGCTCAGGGTGTCTGTGCGCTTTGAGCGCCACCTAGAGCGTTTGATCCCACTGAAAGCGCCTCTAGCGGTAAACCCTTGAAACTGACCACGCGCTGCTGTGGCGCAGCGGCGCGCCACGAGCACGTGACAGCGGCGCGGAGGAGCACGCTCGGGGGCGGGGCTTAGCGGGACTACTTTTAGCATGGCCGCCACTCGTCGGCGGGCGGCCGCGGCGGCGGGGTGGCCGCTCTGGCGGCGCGGCCGCCGCCGGCGACGGCGGGCGACGGTCCGACCCGTACAGCGCCGTCCGTAGCTCTTTTATCACCCCTCAAATTGAGACGGCGGAACTTAGAGGATACGGTAGGAGCTCTGTGATAGGCGATAGATTTAAGGTCACTGTTAAAATTACCTGCTAGGATTTGGTTTATGAGTTCATTTACCAATGTATTCAAATGATAACGAAGACAATGCAAGTGATCATATAATTACAAAACCAATGAGGTATGTGAAAATGTTCAGCTATTAGAGACAAACTGTCTCAAAGATTGAAACAATTACGTCTCGCAAGAAGTTATGCAAGCAGAGTTCAAAGACAAGTCCAATTTGGACATATAGCCATTACAACTTATGCTCCTATTATGGCTGTAACAATGCCGCAGCCAATGTAGAGATATAAGTCATGCGGATAAACTTACCGATAAACATGCCACAAATGGGAAGTAGTGTCCACAAATATGAACATCAGCTTAAATATTTCAATAAAGTGGCAGTTGCAATGCCATTTATGTGATTCATGGGACCATTTCAGTCATAAAGAAAGCGCAATGTCTCATTGCTATGGAAAAAAAAAACAAGAAATTTAAAAACTGTTTTCACCAGAAATATGAGTTGTGAGTTGTGACCATTGTCCATTCATAACATTGCAAATACATCACTTTATCCGTCCATTCATTTACTAATGAAGATGCTATTGCCTGCATCATGTTTCATTGTTGCAAACGAAGAAATAGATAAATATTATAACAAATGAAATGTACCAGTAGGTGTTCACACCATCGGGCTCCCAGTGAGCATGTTTCCGCTTTATTTGCAATTCCACACATCTGTGGATATGTCATATTGCGCTCTAATATCTTAGGAGATAATTGCAAAAACATCTCCAATCTTTTCCTGGCTTTTATGACGAAATTGAAGGTTTGCTGAATACACCTGTTCACCGCTTTAGCCCAAAGCTTTTGGGCATATTACATTGAACATGGCTAAGTCCCAGTCGTAAAAAGACAATGCATTAAAGTCGATTGATAGCTAACAATTAAAATTAAGCAAATGTCTGGTGTTGGTTTTCATTGACTAAATACACTAGCTGCCTTAAAATGATGGGAACTGGCTTTAATAGCTCCTGCACTTAACAACTAGGTATGCTATACGAGTAAAGAAAGGAAGTATTAAGGAATATAAAGCTTAAAGGCACACAAAAGATAAATGATGAAGGATGTGAAAGATAAAGGAAATATCAAAGAGCACAAAATGAGCGTACTCAGTAAATGGCTCAAAACAAGTGAAATCAAAACTGCCACCACATAAGCACTGATGGTGCTAATAAGTGCTAACTGCCTAACATCACAGGACCAAGACTGCTAATCTAAAGTGCTAAAGTGCTAACTGCCTAACATCACAGGACCAAGGCTGCTAATCGCATAGCGAATTCCCAAATTTGTCTAGCTTTATATTACAGTTACAATGGATTTTCTACACGACAAGGATAGTGGTATTATAAAAATGGCTAGACAATCATGAATGTCGGCTACCTCAACCAAAAATTGGTCTGTTCCATCCAGTGGTAAATCTATAAAAAATGATATTGGAGAAGGTTGAATGAGCTTCAAGGAGAGCCATTTAAGAGCAGCCGCGGGAACATTTCTGCGAGGAAATCAGCTGTTTGCGGGCTGTAACGGTCGGCGATTTATGCCGTGCAAGCATTGATTTTGAGATAAACATTGCTTTCAATTAAAAAAAAACAATTAAGCATTGAAAAGTACTATAAGAAAATATATCATCCCTTTCAATCCACGCAATCATATATTTATTGCTAAAATCTCACTTGTAAACAATTCACGTTTGTATTCCGTGCGCCAATATATGTCTACGCAAAGCCCCATCCAAAAATCAGCATTCGTTTGGGATGAGGGAGGAGGCGAATAGTGGTGACTGGTGGTAAGATGTGGAATCGGGATGTGCTCTGAGGAGCCTCGAGGAGCGATGAGAACTTTTTTAAACGGGAGGAGGTTCGGGGAGCGTAGGGGAGGTTGTAGCAACTACTGAAACATATCCAATGGTTGATTCAATCCCATCCAATTCAGAGGCTAACTAGTGGGAGTATCTTGTACTATCGAGGATTACACCCGGCCCTGGTTAAGTGGTTTTCGTTCTAGTAATCGTTCATGCTTATTGCAAAACTCAAATGCACACAATCCAAATTAAAAACAAATATAAACGTATGCATGGCGGTGACTTCTACTGTTCAATTGTACAGGCTATTGTAAAATGTAAATGTGTATCCAAATGATCAGTTTAATTTCCTGTGCTATGTAGCTATAAATGTCAAAACACTCAATTCCTTAATAGCATATGGTCGACAAAATATTTGTCGTTTCTCTTGCTCTGAATGTTTGGGCCCACTTTACACGTAAATGGCTATAATAATGAATATTTTTGCGTCAAAGATCACTTCAGTCTCTACACTTCTTATGAACCATCTCTGGGAAATGTCACCGCTGCTGATCCAGGATAGAAAGTCGACTGATTGAAGCCCTTCATGCCGTGCCGTGGGTGCATTGTATCTCAATGGTGATGTCATTGGTGGCTTACACCTACATCATTTGTGATCACTTCAAGAGTTCAGGCTGAGTTTGAGATGAGTTTGGGCGTTTGAGCTGAGCTCAAGAGTTCGAGATGAGCAATGCATATAAAAGCACCTAATGCAGCTCATGTGTGCAATAATTCAGCACTTAACCATGATGCACCATAACGGTAACATTTTTATTGCTTTATCAAGCTGCTCTCTAATGCATTAGAAATACATCACATACATTCATCTTCTTCTTTCCTATCCGCTGAAAACCAAATAAACTAATGATTAGTGATATCATTCCAGTGTTTCTATAATTTATTACTCCACATTTTATCTGTGGTGTCGATTGTGGCACGCCCCGGCCCAGGTAGCAGAGTGGGCGATCGGAGATCAGACAGCACCGTTCTTAACGGCGACCATTCATTAGACAACTATTGACACAGGCAGACGGCGAGGCAGCAGCTGCCGGCATGCTCCGGCAGACTGTGCAGTGTGCAATGATGGCACGTAAAACGAACCCGAGCACCTTCCCAGCGGCGCCCCTGACCGCCCGCCGCCGCCCCCGCCCCCGCCCCCGCCCCGGCCATCGTCCGGTGACCTCTGATGCCACCGGACCGCCGAGGGCGCACAAAGAGCCAGCCGTGTTGTTTGGAGGAGCAGAAAATGAAATACGATTTTATCTGCATCGCAAGCTCATAACTTTCGGCGGCCGAATGTCTCGGCGTAGACTTTACGACTTTCCCAGTTATAACAATCCCCCCTGATCTAGTCTGGCGATCCGTCATGTTGATTAGATGCAGCTGACAGATTCTTTGTGGCCCTGATCAATACTGGAAACGTTACCATGGCAACTGGGTGCCAGATTTTAGCGCCAAAATGCCGCGGTAGCGGGAGCCGAAGATTACGCTTTGCGTTACGGGCAACAGAGGGTGACAATGTCGCCTCCGACGGCGCATCTCGACTGTCGATGGCAAACGTCGATTTCGACGCAAGCTGGAGTGTTTGCCGGGACTCTGCGTCGTAGTGAGGCACGACGCACAAAATCTGGAAACGGAACTGGCACGTGGATGAGGGCTGCAAGGAACTTCGTCCATGCTCCTGCAGATTGTCAGGACTCTGCTCACGCAAAAAAAATGTCCACCGACACAGTTCGTCGCTGTCGACAGGCGTCCGTCGTCAGACCGTCGTCAGCGTCGCGTTCCGCGAGCGTCAGCGCCGGCGACGCTCGGGAGGTGCCTCCTCTGACGACGTTATGAGTCCACCGTCTGGCCGGCTG